CTCAAACTTTTCTTAAGCATCAGGGGAAATGTAGTGGGTTTTATTCTTTCCACTACTTCACTTTCTCTTTTTTTACCTTTTCTAAGAAAACCACTGGAATGCGGCTAATTAAAACAGGAAGTACAACAGCATGCTGTCCACGCTTAATGCTTTTTTTTGCTCTCTAGGGGAACTTAAGGAACCCTTCAGGGACATGTCTTTAATTAAGAGTAAAAACAGCTGTTTAGCATTTTCAACAGCTTGCAAAGTCCAGACGGATCACCTCAAATGGTTATCAGATGCAATCATCCTACCAGATTTTGCTATTTCACACTGTACCTAAATCACCAGCAGCTAAAATGAAAAACAGTGAATGATCCATCAATAGCAGAATATGTCCGAGAAACATAAAGCTTCATCCTCACCTTCATATCTGTTTGATTTGTTTTCACAGAGAATTATAAGATGCACTGCCAGAATCTCATCTCAGCTTCTGAAGATTAATGTAGACACAAACACCATCTGCTTTAAAGAGATGGTACATAAGTGTACTCTGTGTTTATGTTTCCAACACACATTTTACCATATTTCTGAAACTATCATGCAGGGACTAAAGGTGACAACATGCAATCAAGTTTATTGCTTGTGTACTAGGCAGTCATCAAAAAAGTAAAGATTTTTCAACAACGTAAACAAATAAAAATCTATTTATTTACAGTTCTACGTTTTCATTATCTTGCGCCGAAGTTATGTATCTTGTCTTAGAGAGACTTTGAAAATATCATAAATCAGTACAGACTGATAATTTCTTAAGCAAAGCATCTTCAGTAATGTTCAAATCAGGGTAACATACTCCAAAAAGCAGACTAGAACAATGAATTGTGAAGCGGGTGCATTACCGTTATTCGTGTGATCATATGTTGTATGAGCATGTGCATCAGAACAGAAGAAAATGAAGACAGTGAAATTCGACCCCATGTCACCTGCCACAAAGCGGCAGAAAAATGGATCGGCTGAGTCAGAATGTGTAGTTTGTTGCTGAATCTGCTGTTGTGTCCTCGCACACATCAACCCCACATGGCCCACATGCAATCTGAGTTCAACCTGCACACAGCATCAGCACTTCTACCCTCTGCAGTCAAAATGAATGACCTAATGACTTAAAAAAAAAAAAACTGTATATGAAGTGGTGATAAATTGTCACAAATGCTTCTAGTGTATCACAACTAAAAAGAGACCTACCCACAAAGGACTACAGATGCACTCCTCAAGCGATTTGCAGTAAACAGGCAATTTTCCAACCATGTCCTAACTCACTTGTTCTGTCACTCAACCTGTCACTATGGAGATGGGCTCAGTTTCTCTGCCATAGTCCCTATGCTGCAGTACGCAGCTACAAAGAAAAGCATAGATGGGTCGCATCTAATATCACAGAGAACAAACCATATTTGTACTCCATCTTTAATCTTCTATTGTTGATATACTATGGTCTGACTTTGTTGATACTCAAAAGATGGCGGCTATAGTCAGGTCATCCCTAAATGCTCTACAAGGTCAGCGTCAGCTTAAGATCAGGCATGAGAACCACTCGACTTCATGATAGGCGGGTCTGACCAGGGAGGAAAAAAGTTTGCAGCATCATCGAAAGGTCAAACTGCCACCTCAGATGAGTGTATTAAAAGGGAAGCACATGGAATAATCCCAGTGATGCCCATGCTCAAAGGATCACTAGCGATGTTCACACTGTAAAAACCAACTGAGGTACGTATATACAATAAATTTACTGGAAACTGTTCTTCCCACGTCATATTACAATTGAGAATGTATTTCTGTTCACAGTAAATTATCTCACAATATATACTGTAATAAAATATATATTATGTATTTTTTTTAAAACTGTCATTATGTTGTGACATTATAATATGAAACATGTATCTGTGAAAAAATAAAACTCTCTCCCTTCTCCCAGGGCTACTACTGCCACCTGCAAAAATACCAAATTACACTGGCGTCAGAAACAACCAATCAGAGCCAGGAGGAAGGTCTTAGAATTGTCAATCATGCCTGTGTACATGCTGAAGAATTGTGACTTAACTTGAAACAAACTCACCAACATTGTAGATATATATACATTTTAAATGTTCAATGTTTATTTTGTAGAAAGGACAATTATTTATTTAACTTTGTTGGTGTATATTGTTTCAAAGCTGTATATAAAAATCAAACCACGTTAAAATTTACACAAGAGTCACATTCAGCCAATCACACTCAGAAATACACACATATTTATACACTGAAATGTAGATTACTTGGGGTTAAGTGTCTTGCCCCGGGGAACAATGACATGTGGAGGCTGGAATCAAACCTACACGCTTCCGATTGTAAGAGAACTACTCTACCCACTGAGCCACAGTCACCCACATCAAGGTAGGGTATACATAGCAATAACAGTGGGGGTTTTTGTAAGCAAATGGATATAATTCATTCAGATCAGACTATCACATAAGCCACTGTAGTGTTTTAAATAAACTTGTAGATGTCAAATATCTGACTAAGAGGAGCTATTTATTCCTAATGGTTCTGATAAGGACACAATGCATTTTCCAAAATGAGAGATGAGGAAAGAAGGGCACTAAAAACTGATAAAAACAGCCACTGGTTGCCAGTAAATTAACACAAATCCCTCATGTTGTTATTGCAGTGTATGCCTATCACAATTTAGTGAAAGTAATGTTGGCTAAAAAAAATATTAGTTTTAAGAACAAAACGACCCTTTAAAATGCAGAATTTTTAACATGACTAATAGGAAAGTTTGGGCTTTTTAGGCAAAAATGTGCTATAAAGTTAACTAGCAATGTTAAAGTACAGCACAGCTGTTTCAGAGCTAATTAGTTGTTTCAACGGTTTCATTTAATACTGGTAATGGAATAAAACGTACTTTATCAAAATATATATATTTTTTTTTCTTACTGGCAAATTTGGGGCTTCCTTTGTGCTCACTCGGAGGAAGGTCCGCGAACTGCACCCGGTGTCCCGACATGTCGGCTGTTTGTTCCTCTGAATCCGCTCCGTAAACTTCCCCAGTGTCGAGGTGGACCGTGAGTTCTGGCGCGTGGGGATCCTTCACAGGCGCACCACGCGCGACAGAAGAGCGTCAGTGTCCGTTGGTGGCTTTCTTTCTCTGTGTGCGCTAATTCAGAGCCAGCACAGTAGCCCACTGCAGAGAAGGAGTCCGGTGTCCTCTTCTCTGCTCTTCTCTTCTCTGCTCTGCTCAGCCTGCCTGCTTGTTTATGATCCGTAGGAGAAAACCCAGGCGCCAGAGGAGCCCATTCCTCTTCCCGCATTAAAGAGAAGATTAAAACTTTCTTCTATGTGCCTCTGTGACTGCATCGTTACGTCACTATTGTAAAGGTTTCAGGTAAAAGAATATAACATTAGTAACAAAATATAGTTAACTAAGCAGCAGTTGAAGCACACATCAGAAAACATGGCATTTTTATGTTATTGTTAGGTTGTTTCAGAAAGAAGTTAAATTTTTAAACTAAAATGAAAATCGTAATATGACGTGCCTAAATGCACACTTCAAAAATATACAACATTTTACTATGACTTGTGCTTTGTCCGCTGAGTTAATAAAGAAGCCCTGAGTATCCCTACATTTGAACAAAAAGAAAAAAAAAATACTGCATAACATTAAAGTAATTTTGGAAATATTAGAGTTTAGAATGCCATCTAGTGGAAGCAAAGTCAAACTGTTTTTTTTTCTTTTCTTTTTCCTGGCATTGTGGCAGTTTTTCTTGGATGCAACAAAAAAAAAAATCAAGGGTCATTTCCTGTACTCCAAATAATTTACTGAAACAAACCATGATGGAGGTATTTCGGAAACATTTCCAGGAACCTTATAAAAATAGATTGGAATGTGTTGCAGTAAGACTAAGGTATTTTTTGGTTTTGAAAGTTGTTCTCCTGCAGACTTTGCTTTTAAAATCCTTACTTGGTCATAAGATTCATAGATACAGATTACTAGTGAAGATCATTTTCTAACATGATAAAGGTTGCTACCTCCATCTATTTCTGTTTATAAATCCATAGATGTGTCATGTACTGTGTGATGCACAAATATTCACATCTCTAAACTTTGTCACGTTACAGCCAAAAAATGTATTTTAATCGGATTTTATGTGACAGACCAACACGAACCTAGCACCTAACTGATGTGGAAGCAAACTCATGGTTTTAATTTTGTTTTTATGCCAAGTTCTGCAGTTGGACCTGAATAATTGGCTGTCGGATCATTGTGACACCTTTCAAATGGAGTCAAGTCTTTGTACTACAAAGCCATTCAGATAAAATTAGCAACAGTACATTAGAAAACAAAAACAAAAAAAGAAATTTTCATTTGTAGATAAAAAAAGCAGGAAAATGAAATCTATTTTTTATATTTTATTCAGAAACAATCCAAAAAATAAAAACAAATCCATGAAATTTATAGAAATAACTCAAGATCATCAATACACCAAAACTTAAGTGTGGTGGGAGTAGGCATGGACTGAATAACGGTGTGAAGCAATTCTGGTTTCACAAATTCTAAAACGTACTGTATTATGTGCCTACAATTTATGGTTGTTTTATTGACAAGCCAGATAAAGTGCCAGTGACTGGAATTTTCTCCAGTTGTGTGGAACATAGACTCTCTACCGATATCCCTCCCCCACATGCTGCTGCTCGTCAGCTGTCTGAAAAAAAAATACACCTTTTACGTGCTTAGAAAAAAAGAAAGAAACATGATTTAAAACAAAAAGAGAGAATCCACCCGTCACTCTTACGGTACTACATGTTTGCTTTAAAACTGCCGCAAAACTAAGTTGGCACAATTTATATCTTTGTATATGCCAATGCATTAAGATAAAAAAAAAAGATAAACAGTTATATCTGTAGTAATATATTACTTCAGCAGCAGTAGGAAAGTTTTAATGATCTAAAGAAAACCAGTTAGAACATGTTATACTTTTCGTTAATGCTGTGCTACTGCGGATAAAACGTGGTGAGAATCCAATAACCAACTTACGCCTAGTTGGAACTGTTGTGCAAAAGAGAGAAAACAGATTTTTTTTTAAATACAAAGATAAAAAAAATAACATACTGTACATACGTAAGAAAATGCAATCTAAAATTCACTGCATTTCAAACTGGGTTCTTACACATTTCAAAACAAAATTCCGTACATTTCCCAGTTCAAATTGACAGTTTTTTTCAGCAGTCTTTAGTTACATTTTGGACATTTGAATATAAAACACTAATGTTGAAATGGGTTAAATAGTTGTCAGTTGTAGGTTTTGCAAGTCATGAAAATTAAACTGGCTTTATTTTTTGGAATGCAAGGTTTCACTACTTTTTTGTGTGTCTGGACTAACTGGGATCAGCTCCATCTTAAAATCTATAATTGATTTCACAAATAAAGATTGGAGGATCTCTCATAAAATGTGGGCTCTTTATATTAGATGGAGAACTTTTTTCAAGTTTATTAGGGTTGGTCAAAATCATCCACTTTACAGTTGCCTGAAACCTAAAAAGTAGTGAAATGGTTCTTTGTGGGGGTTTGAGATACATTCAGTCAGTGAGTCAAAAACCAAACATAATAATGGGTAACATTAAAATGTAGTTGTAATGAACCAAAGACAAAGCAAGCCATTTAGACATAAAAACACTTCAATTTTGGGGGGGCATTTTTAGACCTTTATCCTCAGAAGATAGAAAAGGAAAAGTCAGAAATCCAACAGTTTTCTAAGTGCTTTTTGTACAAATTCCAGACTGCATTGGAGCCCTGTTAAAAATGTGTGAACTGTTGCAGAAATGATGTCAAAAGTATAAATGGTCGGCCAAGAAAAAGGCAAATAAATGTTGTACACTGCAAAAATACTGAAACTCAAAGCATCACTGATGTCAACATAACTAAAATCATCCAAAAAAAACCAAAAAAAAAACAAGCATACATCCTTTCAAACTCCAATCTGGACGTTCTGGTATGTAGAAAAACTCAAGTCTGTGCACCGCACTTTGTTTCACACATAGAAATCTTATAAAAAATAATTTAAAGCAGGAAGAAAGTCATCAGAAGAGTCTCCATCGGTCATTCTGTAAGAAAATATGTCCTCCGTCATACAAACTTTATTTCAAACACAACCATTTTGTTCTAGGTACATCTTAGACAGCGAGGCTGCCATAGATTTTGCCAGCTCCTCGTCCCTCTTCCTCTGCATCTGTGATTGTCGACACCAGTCCTCATACTCTGGGTTGGGGAGACGCTTGTCCAATACGACATCGTAGTGACCATTGCTGAGCCAGCTAAGCCAGATTGCCAGTTTGGAGGGGTCCTCCTCCCCAAGATAGTGCACCATGGTGGAAACAGTGGAACTCTCCAGGCTGCCACCAGTCGTAAGGTGGATGTTGACATTCAGCATTTGACTCATGGCTAGGAGCTCTGGATACCCAGCCCAGGCACCATCCTGCGCCGCGTTGATCAAGAACTCTCCAACGTCCCCCTCAATGATGGGTATGAACTCGTCCAGGTGGTCGGCGATGTGGTGCACGGTCTGCTCCCGCAGCTCCCCATGCCTTGCTTGGTCTCCGTATGTGGCTTTGCACACAGCTCTGTACAGGCAGTTACCATCTGGAATGATGTGGTACCTGTACTTGTGTCTCTCCTGGAGGTACTTGTTCTGCCTCTCCACCTCAGCCAGATACCTGGTGACCTTATCGTTGATGTCCCCTGTTTCTTGGCATCTCTGCGGTGGAGACTCCTGGAGGACACTGAGCTCAAAGGCCTTCTCCTCTTTACGTGATGACCCCATGGGAGAAAGTTCCTCAATATCCACTGAAGCAAATCCATTCCTTCTAGAAGATGTCTGGGAAGAAGTTTCATCCTCGTATGAATTCCTCATCGTCCCATTGATATTGCTGCTCCTAAAAACATGATTCCCAGGAAACATCTCATCAGTTCCGTTGCCCAGATGATTAACCATCTCCACCATTATATCTGAATCACAGTCATTGCAGAGCTCATTTTCACCTCTTTGCGACTTGTTCTTGGGCTTCTTGATAATGTGAACCGGTACAGACCTTTCCACTCCATCAGGTCTACGGATTATTATCTCAGCCGTCGATGTAAAGTGAACTGGCCTCACCGGAGAGGCTTCGTAGCAGGAAAATGCTGGCATGTTTGTCTCACTGCCCTTAGTCGCTGAAGTTGTGCGCAGTCGAAGTTGTCCGTCGACCTCAGAGGAACTTTGCGTCGCCGCGTTGGAGTGTTCGGACGCCGGAGACAGATTGACAGTAACTTTCCTGGACCTGGACGCCCTCGGGTAGTGTGTGAGAACGCTGTTGTACAGCTGCATGTTTGAAACGCAGTCCTTTATAGCGGGCGAAGCGGCCGTGCCGTTACGAAAACATGACAACAGCGGCTAAAAATATATTAAGACCCGTGTCATCGGTAACAACAGCGGGGAGCTGTTGGGAACGTCTCCATGGCCCCCAGCCCCCTTATCAGCAACACGCAGAGACGACGACACGCTCCAGTTCGGGCTCTTTGCGTCATTTGCAGACAGGGTGCCTCCCTAATTTTAGAGTTGAAACTGCAGCTGGACCCTTCTGGTTAAACAGTCAGGCAGGATTAAATCACATAGACTTCCCTTCGAGATTTTCAAGATAAAATTACATTAAACAAAAGTGTCGATGTCTTTTTCAAGCCAGCTTCTAAATACTTTATAATATAAAAAAACCAATCATGATTTGTGACATAGAACAAGATAACTACAGTCAAACATGCCAGCAGATAAACACACAGAAAACTGTCTTGTTGCTTCAGAGCCTGGACAAACTGTCACAATTATTAGAAACTAATAAAGGAGAACGTCCAGCTGTCAGTTGGTGATTTTAAGCCGTAAGTTATAAAGAATCACTATCACGCCATTAAGTTCATTTCGGATTGGCCTCTTCAAAGCCTGAACAAATACAAATACGACATTCATACTTTGAAACCCTAAAATGTTCCAGAAATAAAACAAATATCCAAAGAAGAGTTACTCCAAAGTGTTATGAAAAGCCCATCAACAGTTTTCACAAATGCTCTCTGGCAGCTGCTGATGCTAAGGGTTTGTGAAACAAGTTATCAGGTTTGGAGGGTAATAACATTTAATATATTGGTTTGGTTTATTGCCCTTAATAAATTAAATCCTATTCTGAAAACATCTTTTTTCATGTATGTGAAATAACACTTTGGGGAGCATTTGAGGTGTGCTAGCAAAGGGTTCCTAAAGCAGATTAGCACACAGAAAGAGGTTTGTATGATTTTTTTCCCCCTCCCTCATTAATTCAGTAAATAGTCATTCAGATTCTTTTTGTTTACATTTTAATAATAAAATGTAACTGGTAAATTTATTTTTTCTCTCAAATGTATCTCTGATAAATTTAAGTTTTCATTGGAAAAAACCCACATTTGACATGACTGCAATCTGTCTAAACATCGAAGTCAAAATAGCTATTTATAATGTGACTAATTAAGAGTTTATATTTTAGCTACTTAGCAAGTACATGCCCAGGAAGGTGACAACATATTTGTCGTAAACAAGTGGCCCAAACGATTATATGTAAAGATAACGTTTTATTTTGAAAGGACCCATTTGCCATCCGCTTTGTTTTGTCACTAGGTGATTTGACCCATCTCCCTGACATCAGTGCAAGTCATAGGAGGACACTCTTTTTTATTTACAGTATAAGGAAAAGTAACAATTAAGAAAGAAAGGAAGAAAAAGAAAGAAATAATCTTATGAGATTTGGACGTAATAATTGTAGATAGTCAATTTGTGGGAGGACACAATAAATACAACAACCACAATAGCTGCAAACAAACTACAAATTATTGAATATAATATTTATATTACTGTATTAAGTACTAATATTATTATGACATTTTTCAATTGTATTTATTCTTGAATGACAAAAGGCTATAAGCCTTTGATATGACAAACTTGTTCATATACCTATATTTAACGCCTGGACTGCTAGACCTTCTGGAGATTCCTAGAATGTGACTGCTTTATATAGCCTTTACCTCATAGCAGTCATGTGGTTACAATTCAAGCTGTTACATGTTCTGATGAATTGATATCATCAGAGCATGATATAGATCATCATGTTCTGATATTTCCTGAACATGCATTTCCTGAAGCACGTTCAGGAAATATTATGCTTAGTAATAAATGGAGGTAATTATTTAGTCTGTAGAATATTCATGTTCTGACAATGACAATGACAATGCAGGTGCAACAATGTATTGAGAAAGATTTATTGACGGACAAGTGTGGATTTTCCTTCTCCTTCCTCTTAGCTCTAACCAGGCCCTGCCGAAGAAAAAAAAAAAAAACCCTACTCTCAGATGCTCCCACCACCAGCATGTTTCATTTTAGATATGGTGTATAGAAGGAACCAGGTGGTGTAAGTCTATGTTTACCACAAATTTCAGGTTTGTTTAGATCAAATCATAACACCTTCATCCATGTGTTTGCTGTGTCCTCTACATGGCATAGGGACTTTCTTTTAACAATAACATTCTTCTTGGCAGTCTTCCATAAAGTTGAGCTAGGGCCCATATTTGTCCCTACCCAAAGATCCCCCCTCCCTCTAAGCTCTGGATCTCTACAGCTGCTCCTGAATTATGATGGGCCCACCTACTGTTTGTCTGATTAACGCTCCCCTTGTCCAATCTTTCTGCTGAGGTGGACGATCATGTCTTGGTAGGTACAGTAGTAGCATAGTTTTTGCATATTCAGATGATGTATTGAGCAGTAAACTGTTTGATCATAAAAGCATATATTATTTTTAACCTAACCCTGACCACAGTTTTTTTTTCCCTGACCAATCTCCTGTATTCTTTCGTCTTCATGATATTATTTGTTCACTAATAAGCTGCATTCACAGGGATATTAAACAACGGCAAATGTAGGCACTATTTATTAACTGGATGACTTCTAAAGGCAATAAGTTCAAATTCATTTTAGTTAGGGACATCACTGAACAAAAATCCACCACAGTTTTTGAAATGACACAATCTGGAAAAAGTGTAGGGCATCCTTTTAGCCTCTAGTAAAAGTGTAAACAGATATCTTCAGTTGATATGTGGGCTGCAATGAGATATTTAAGAAGATTTTCTTTTACTTTATATTTTATTCTCGTATTTATGCATATGGGGTTGCACGGAAGCATCTCAACTGCCAGAGGGAGCTCGAGGACCTCAGGTTTTCCTCATATTCAAACATAGAATCTGTGGCAAAACAAACCACTAGAGGGAGACATTTTCACCTCAAAGATGGAACCCAAGCGGTTGTTTGGAACAAATTCATGCAAACAGCCGATGCCACAGCAGCTGTCGCAAGGTTGTGGTCCGCATACAAATGAAGGCATCGATCGTTTCCCTCCCCATCGCCGTCCTTGTTGTTGGTTTCAATAACCTGAACTGGCGCACTATAACCCTCCAGCTGCTGCAAGGCGGGGTCAATATGTCACTACTACACCCACGTCTGGAGGTTTATACTAGGAATGGTAACAGTATTAACAAATTTAACTAACATTCATCAATTTCCCGTAGCAACACGGCAAAATGAGAGAGAAAGTAGGAGTAGTAGGAATGATTTAAGGTACGTTATATTGTCCAACACTAAATAATTGAACGGTTTGAACCCTAATACGCATAATAGGATCACGCTCTTAAAAAAGCACAGCCTTTGGTAGTAAGTCCGGAGATAAAGCTACAAAACATGTTCTAGATTTTTTTTTTTCTTTTTTTAAAAGAGAGGTTTTGCCTAAAGGCAAACCGTGTTTGTTTCACTCAGTTACTGCCACGAGGTCCGCAGTGCTCCCTCCGCCAGCCTGTTTTGTTTTCATTCCGATCTCCCTCGATGAAGAAATAACATGCTTTCCCAGCATATTGTTTTCAAATGTGTGTGTGCAAGTTATTATGCATTTAGGGGGAATTATGCAGTAGTTAAAGCCTTACGAAACCGTATGTATTCATGTCAGTGGAACAAGCCGTGCTGATGTCAGAGATTTTCTTCCCCATGCAGCTCAACATGGTGGGAGGATCTCTGCGTTGAGTCACGCAGCTGTCAAAGATAGCTGTCACCCAGTTTCAGGATCAAACACACACACACACACACAGAGTCAACGAGGAAAACGGCTTTGAGAGCCGAAGGGACGGAGTGGTCTCAGGTAAACCCCCACCACCACCTCTACTTTCTTTTTTATACCACGATTCACAACAGGGACCAAGAGAAGAGAGACCAATATAAAACATATTTTAAAAAAGAAACTTGATGAATAAGGATTTTCCCCCCCTGGGATACACACTGAACGGACGAAAAACAGAGGAATTACTGGGCATTTTACAAACGGAGATGAAGACGAAAAAAGGTAGGTGGGATGTTTTGGACGAGATTGTTGTAGAAGAATATATATATAAAAAAACGTTTTCCCGTTACTGGGAAAACGGTAAACAGAATGATTCTCCTCATATGAAAACCATGCAGTCCATTGTTTCCTTCTCAGACATGACAGGGGGCTTTTCTTCCACCATGTGCTGGCGCGGTGTCAAAAGTCGATATGCTTGTTTTTCACTCACCGTTTAAGATTAGTTACACGTGTGTTTATGCTACTTTTGAGCTATCCTATGTTTACGTGTTTTCATAACGAAGTCTCGACCTAAATTGAAAGCGCAAAACGTTAAAACTTAAGAGGAAGACACCAGGGTTTTGTTTTTTGTACCTTTGTATTTAGGCATGTTTCATTAAATAAGTGACGAAGTAATACAGTGATGATAAAAGCCAAAGTTGGTGGCACTATTGTTGTGTTCGCGAGTTTGTGACGTTTTCACAACGTGCTTTCGAATAATAAAAAAAATCGATACCTTGTATCTTTTCCGTCTTAAAGAGACAAACACATTAAGCGGGGTTTTAAAGCGTCTGTAATCAGAAAGTAGGCTAATGTTCTTATTGACCTCATTGTTGGGAAGTTGGCTGTTGCCTTGTTCGTGGACCTCGTGGTGCAGCTCCTTCACGCAGGCACACAATAGAAACCATCTTACAAGTTGTGTTAAACTTACTAAACCAGCGACTTGAATGAGTCTGAACACTTTTCTGATCATTCTGATTAGTTGTAAGTTTTAGGAAGGTGTTGAGTTCACCATAAAGTATCTCTTGGCGAGTGGAAACTTTTCAGTTGGGTACAAAGACGCACGCAGCCCTTGGGTTCTTTTGTTTAGTCTGGAGACGCTGATTTGCAACAGGTCTCCCCTCCCCCTTTCCCCTCTTCTCCAGCCTACGTAATTACCTCATCCTGTTGGGAACTTTCTTGCTCTTTTCCCACTACTTTGTTCTTATGCAGACCTCTTAAACCTCATCTATCCTCTGAATTTTCTTACATGGCTCCCTAAGCTGTCCTGGTGTTAATATTGGTCTAAATATCACACAAGCTACTGGCGAGCTGCTTCAGAAGTTAATTACAGAAGAGGAATTTTCCAAATGAATACTTCTCCTGAAATGTAGTTTTCAGTTTGCTGCCAGTCAGGGCAGGGATTATATACTCTTATCAATATGTTGAAGTTAAATTTGAAGTTTTA